TATGTTTATTCACATTCGATGACAACACAAAGGCAAATATTATACCTAAATAGCCAGAAGTTTCGGCCTCAGGGTGCCTTCGTCAGTGACAATATTGGTATACCATGGTACCTATACTATTACATTAATAAAGTAATTTAACTCTTTAACACTTTTAACCCTATTCCCGGCGGGGGGGGCCTCAGGAGCCCCCCCCCCCTGAGGTTTTTTGGTTATTTCTCCCAAACGCTTTGAGCTAGAAAGCTCAAATTTTCTGACTTTTACTAAAAGGCTTTTACGCAACATTTCTGAAAATTTTGAGTTGATCTGACCTCAGGTCAGGTCACCAGAGGCGGTTTGGTGACCCTACCTCAGAAAAGTTTGCAATCACGCCAGAGCTAGAGTTTTTGACCGATCAATTTCTTCTCTTCAGGCTTTAGTTAGGGTACCAGTATGTGCAATTTGTATATCTCAGAATTTTCATATCTGTGACCTGAGGTCAGGCCAGACTCGTGACCTTTACATTGCAAGCCTATGGGAAAATATTGAAACGCCTCCTGCTTCGTGTAAACGAGTCAAAACCACCCAATTCTTTCAGTATTATGGAAGATTATCTCATCGGTAATGATCCTGGTGCCGCTAATTGACAGGGGCACCGGCAAAGGTCATCTGAGGTCATGTGACGTCATAAATCGTTTTTCTGTAAATAAATCACGACATGATGGTGCTAAAGACTTGTAAGTGGTACCAAACTGCTCGCCTGGTCAAGGCGCGTCGTTTGGTATGCAGCATGACCATACCCCACAACCTCATTGATGAATGACCTGACCTTGACCTCAGGTCAAATTTCAAATTGACCTGTGAAGGTCATCACATACTTATTTCGCATCGCCTCGGCGAGAGCGGCGAGAGCAATCGCCTCGGCGAGTGTGTCAAAGCCACGTACAGTGTTTCGTAGTGTTTAGAAAAACTTTCGTCCAAAAGAGGTGGTTTTGAATTTTCTCCCATTGACAGGTCGCAAAATTGAGCTGACCTTAGGTCACCGATATGAAAATTCCGAGATATAAATTTTGTACATGCTGTTGCCCTTATCAATCGCTGAAAGTTTTAACGCGATTGGTCACTCGGTGTAGCTACGGCATACAATTGAAACATTTTATGAGGTGAGGTCACTTGAAGTGACCTGGTGACCTGATCTTGAATGAGCTTGGTCTGAAATTTTTACAACACGTGTAAAATTGATGGATGATGTAGCGCCGCCGTTTTTGAGATATCCGCGAAAAACCGCAGGAAAAGCCGCAAGTGTTCAACCCCCCCCCCCCCCAGCCACGGAAATATTATATCATGCGTCGGTCACGTGACACATGTTTTATGGTCCATTTAGGCCATAGATTTTGAATGTTACGTCTTGCTTCCCTTAAAAATGAAATGTTAGCGGCGTTTGAAATTTTGCCGTTTTTGACTTGGCTTTTGAGGCGAAAATGGCGAACATGAGTCATGAGGACTCATGACGTCACTAAAACGTCATTTTCTCTAAAATGTTCCGACGGATTTCGTTCAAATTTTCAGGGAGCGTGTCAAATTAATGTATTAAAATGTGAGAGTTTGACGTTGCTGGCGTAACGCGTTTAGAAGTTATTGGCGAAAAACGGGAGGTGGGCAGATTCTGCCCCCCCCCCCCCCCCAGCTGGGTGCGGGTTATATATTTTAGTCACTGTAATTAGTTGTAATGTCTAGTTTCCTCAGCGAAGCCCGTTTTGAAAACAATTAACATTTTAGAAATCTTTTAACCTGAGGAAAAGAATAATGACGCTTCGGCAAGGATAGCTTGTAAATCCACCGCTAGATGACTCTGCCCTCAGCGCCTGAAACATGCTGCACCGCGCGACACGCTCCCCTTGCTAATAAATCCGCCGCTAGATGACTCTGCCAGTAGCGCCTGATTCATGCTGTACCGCAATGCACGACGAAGGCATACGATTACCTACCCGCTAATAGGTACGTCACGAGACAAGATAAACGGCGCAAGTCGCAACCACGTCACAAATGCAGATACTTTTTAGTCACTGTGGCTATAGCTATAGCCTATGTAATATGCGTATATCACATTTTTAGTTGTAATAACCTTAAACCTACCGTACCTATTCTGAAATATTCACCAATGTAAGTCACATTTTTAGTTGTACCTAATAACCTACTGTATAATGAAATATTCTGAATATTTTCTTCTCCCTTACGTAGGGATGTTCTACTCGCCTACCCTAATAAAGGTAGGCGCTTGCCTTCAATTTCACTCTCGCAAACCGTTCAACTTTATTGACGCCATCGATTTGAAAGGTGTCTGTTTGTGTCCATTTTATTCCAAACGTAGCTACTCGTATAGTGACTTATGTTGGACTGAAACGTGCAATATTTTATTTCGTAAATTGTACATACATCTCACCTTCTTGCCAATTCAAATAACCTTCTTCAGCCGTTCAGCAATCAGCACAATTCTATTCACCGCACTCAATTTATGTCGAGTGCCGCGGAGGCTGCTCTTCATTCGTGCCAAGGTCATTTCGTGCCCCACTACCGCTTCAGTCAGCGGTGAGTTACCCGATACGAGAGCGGCTGAAGTCCTGCGATCCCCGAGCATGGCTCAATATCATGCCGTCCACGACGACCGTCTACTGCCGTTGTTAAGAACTCGAGTCACAGGGGCTTCAAAGTGACCACCTGCGGCACCAGTACTTAGGAACGGACCGAGACGAATGTGGCGCTGAGTCAGTCGCCACAGCCAGTGGATCTCGTGGCGCGGCCGATCGCCACGAGTGCAAGTGGACGCAGCCGGTGGAGTAGGTCATCGCCAAGGAATGATGAAAGCATCGACTATGGGCGGCCTGAGCTCACACACTCTGAGTGACCACCGGTTCTCTCGCGGAGATGTGCACCACTCGAAACACCGGACACAACTGCAGCGGCGCCAGAGGCCCATCCGCGGCCGCCGCCCGCGCCCGCCCACTTAACCAATTGAGCTCGTTGCGCCCATTGTTGCCAATTGTGGTCCCCGGCATCCCGTGCCGCGGGGACTGTCGGGGTCACCGGGAAGGGCACGGAGAGCCAGAGAGACCAACCATCGATGGGAAAGGCATCGGGCTGGAGACAGGGGCGATCTAGCGCAGAAGACATGTGCAATGAGCATGGCACGCTCAAGGCACTGAAATGAAACAAGGAATGAAAAACAGGTCATGTGACCGATCTCTGTGACTGGTCTACTCCCGGGAAGTTCGTATCACTGCGACTGAAAAGTGAATCTCTGACCCAGAGACGCGTTGTGAAACTGCGACATTTTTAGGCCGTTAAAACGTTCACGTAGGTATGACACTCTAGGATAGTGACCTGACCTGACCAAACAATGCGGTTAGTGTCTTCCAATCGTTCCGCCTTTATCCAAAAGGCTGGGTAAATCCTGCGCAATGCAAAGCTCATCTTTCTAATATATTACACATTACGAGCACGCGCATAAAATAAACGCCAGGGCCGGGGTACAGTGCCTGCCAACGGCCTTTCCCCGCCGTCGGAGATGTCCATTAAAACAGCTCTGACTGAGCCCATTAGCTTCTTACTGTCTAGTCGAAACCCACGAGACGCCTACCACCACTTAGTCATTGTTTAGTCACCTTGTTTAGTCATTCTGATTTAAATGGGTTTGTTCGTTGAAAAATCGCTTAAAACTTGGTCTGAACTTTGTTGTGGTGCCTACAGAGTAAAAAGAATCAGCTTTATGACAGTAATGTGGCCTGGGGAAGGAGGTAATTTTGGGCTGTGACGTCACATATTTGAAAGTTTGTGTTTGGAATACGGGAAGCCTAAGATGTTTAATGAAAAATAAATGCCAGAACCGTGTTCCTGGTCATCCAATCTATAAAGTCGGGCACAATTTAACTGGTTTTAACAACATTTTAGAAGGTGGGATAGTCCCTTTAAAACCAAATTAAATAACGGTGTTGAGTGTAAACTATTGCGTAGATGTCGGACATCTTTGGACAAATGGCTTGCTTGGACATTTTTGGACGGACAGTCGACGTAAGTATTGGACATTGGACGGACATTGGACATACGTTTTCTGAAATTGACATCACTGATTCACTACTGTCTACTGTGGGCCACAATGTGCTACGTCAATTTGGGGACCGTGACCTTTGTTGACCTCTCTAGATCTACTGATTATGCGTGACGCCGGACGGCTTGGGCCACGCTACAATGGCCCGTCGTTCTGAACCTGGGCTGTATCGTGTCAATTTTTCGAGCATTTTATCTTCATGTTAGTCAGGTCAAACGAGGTCACATCAATTCACTAACGATACCCAAGACAAGTTGCGGGGTATGTAATGACGACTAATTTGCTTTCAATTGCAATTTTCCTATTCGTCTATTGAGGAACTGCTGTACAAATATTTTCGACCCGACCTTTAAAGGACATGAGGTCATCACGTGCTCTCTAGAGGTAAAATTGATTGTAGTTACTACTTACTGAATAGCTTCAGGTCATGGCCAATCGTTTGGTGCAATTTTCAGCGCTCTTTGTGTAACGGGGTGTCGGGTGGGCCAGAAAATGCAGTGCACCTTTAGCGTCCGTGTGTTGAGCGTACAAATGCCGCCAAGTGATTTATGGCAGGCATTTTCCACCGCCAAGGGCTATGCAGTGTGCGTGTTTCAAGTCGATCCGAAATGTCCCTGAAATGAGCTGTATTCGGGCTGAATCCCGGCTGTATTGACGGCCATCGGTCGGAGAGTGTAACAGACTAGTCCGAAGTATTCCATGCGAGTTTTCAAACGTGTCAGCAGTTTAATTTCTTCATAATTCCCCGGCAGAACTGGCCTAGGAATCTAAAGGAGAGAAAAGCAATGCTCTTCAAAGAAGGTCGGCAACCTGCTCGTATCTCTTTATCTGTATCTGTGTATATCGTGTTCTATATGCGGCTGATCTTTGACTTTGTTAATTTTACTGTTCACGACCCCACGCGAAATGTAAAAAATCGCATCCATGTGAGAGTGTATTTTGTGTGGCATATGAGTAAATCACCATATCACAGGCTCTCCATTCAACTCTTACGTTCACGGCTAGTATTCAGCATTATAAGTTATAAAAAATACAACGGCAATCACACATCCTCCACAGTGCGATCAATGACGTTCCAAGAACAGCAAATAAAAGCATTTTCATCAAGCACCCGTAACGGCAGCCTCGATTCGGCCATATGAACCAGCTAAGCTCGCCTTTCGCCGCTACCGCGCCAGTACGAGCTGGCTGAGAAGGATACCGGTGGCCACACCCACATTGAGTGACTCCACTCCGTGCACGAGATCCCGCTGCGCTGGGACGGTCCACGGCTGGCATAGCGCGGCCAGCGAGGCCTCCACGCCGCGGCCCTCGTTACCTGCCGACACAGCGGTCACGGTTAGTTCGGTTATCAAGGCGATGGAATGATAACGATCAGCTTAGGTGATATTTGGAAGTGATCGTTCAGGGCGGAACGGTTAAGGCAAACTCGGTGATATTTAGGGATGTTCAGCTCAGTGATCTTTTGGGATCTTATGTGATCCAAAGTTCCATCTTTGGAGCTGGAACGGTCAAGACTCACGATCAGCTCAGTGATCTTTGAAAATGTATAAGTCACGGTCACGTCAGTTAGCAATTTTCGGAGGATAGAACGGCCACAGTTACAGTCAATTCAGTGATCTTGGAGCTGAAAAGGTCATCTTGCAGATGAGTCAGACGGGAAAATGATGCGGCTATCGAGTTGACAAGTCAATAATGTGGTGTGGGGTGGTGTGATGCTCGAAAACTGGACGAGAAATATGTTAACTACATTCTTTTCTACGATAAAAATCGCACCAATTAACGGTAATTAAAAATCATCGTAGCTAAATGCCATGGCACCCCACAGCCGTCGGCCCACCGCCAGCCGTAGTGTTCGCCGCCGATTCCACGCCGCCCCGTCGCGCTACCTCAATCAGCGTTAACCGGCGGCAACTGGCCGATGGGCCCGGCACCGAGCCGACCGGCCGCCGGTCGCGTGTCACCACTGTCCGCCAATAACGCGCAATTGGACAAGTGGGCAGTACATCCTCCGGGCACGCGCCCGGCAGACGGTCCCCCGCCGGTCGCCCCCCTTTTATCGCCCGGCCACATTACAATCGGAGGTCGAATGGCGCAGACATGAATGCAGGCACGCGGCAGCCGGAGGCGGACGGGAGGATACTTTTTTGGACAGAAAGTTCGATGGAATTGATAATTGATATGAACATGTTGAACGGTGATCAATCAGTAAGCATAAAAATTAAAATTATTATTTGCTGAAACCTTAAGAAAGTGTAATGCTTTTCAAATCTTCAGAATTCTTCAGAAAGTCCCTACAACATGAATGGATTTTTAACCCGCGCCGGGCCGGTGCTCTGCGACAACCGCGCTGGGCCGGGGAGGTTCTGATTTCTGAACACCTCCCCCCTCCCCCCCCCCGCCTAACTCGGCTCCTGGGCCACGTAGCGACACGCGGTAAGCGGCAATCGAAAGAGCGTCAAAAATAATGGCGGAAATGCTCAGTCATTTTCAAGATCAGGTCAAAGGTCAGGCCACCAGAGGTCATCAAAGGTCAAAGTTTGTCTATTTCAACAATTTTCGAAACACTCGGCGGCTAACTCGGGAATCAATAGAGCTACAGCGCCGCAGAGAAGCGCATTCGATAGCTCTAATGTTCTTTCCCTAACATGTCCTCAAATTTGACCAAAGTTAACAGCTTAGCCTCCAGAGGGCAATAACTCTAAAATAGCCATTTTCACGAAAAAAATGTTTCTTTTTTAATAACTTTTGACTCCACTTTGAGCCACGACATTACTTTTGCCAGCATCGTGTTCCTCTCGTCGAGACGCGTTGAATGAACTATACGTTGACCTATAAAGGTCATTTTGAAAAATTGACAGGTCAAGGTCATGACCTAACCGTAAAGGGTCATGTTGGATAACAGTCGATCCGCATCGTCGAGCTGAACACATCTGAGGCGTTTTCATCGCTCTCGCATGTCTCTATCAGCAGTTATTGTAAAAAAAAAACTGCTGGGGACATTTCATGGCCTGGTATGACCTGAGGGACATACGAAGTCACGGGTGCCATTTTTCGGTTCAGCTTGTCGAGTTTACCTGTAACCCGATATTTAAGAGTGTTTGGAATGACGTTCGTCCAAAAAAGGGGTCTTTCAATTTTCTCCCTTTGACTTATAACGGAGAGGTCGCAAAATTGACCTGACCTTAGGTCACCGACATCAAAATTCCGAAATATACATTTTTCATTTTTTCATTTTTCATCATTTTCATCTTTTTTTACATTTTGTTAATACCTACTGTTACTCCTAACAATCGCTGAAAGTTTCAAGGCGATCGTTCAGTCGGCGTGGCTATCACGAAGATTCTAACTTTTTCTGAGGTAAGGTCACTTGACGTTACTTGGTGACCTGACCTTGAGAAACCTGGGTCTGAAATTTTCACAACATGTGCGGAAAAAATGCATGAACATTGAACAGGTGTGCCAAAAGCGGCAGCGCGGAGCTCCGCCGTTTTTGAGATCTGCGAAAAAGCGCGAGGGGGGGGATGTTCAAACACCTCCCCTCCCGACGCGAGTTAACTTTAGTTTGATCACCTCACGGCCTCACGTAATATTATATACGTCACATGGCCCTCCCGTTACAACGACGATGACAATGCCCGACTTAGTTAGCGCCGACATCTCCATCATACGGCCTTGGCGCCGACAAAACCATCAGATTTCGAGCACCTAAAATCTTGGTTTCATACGATACTTGGATGGAACGAAGCATTTTTGACCTTCCGAGACACCACTGAGGTCGTAAGTTCCGTCAATGATTTCCGATCCGCTAGAGATGGCGGGTTGCAAATGGGAACAATGAGCTTAAATTGACCTGTTAAAACAAAATGAAGCAACACATCCTCCCTAGGTCAACGTCCTGACCTAACCTAACCCAAGGTTAAGGTCAACCCAACTCAAAACGACCATTTCTAAAAAAAATCACACTGCACGACATTGGACAACGCTGGACATGTGAGCTAACGTCATGACACCGACATCGCTACACAGTACACTGAGACAATTACTTTTTGCCGATGTTATTTACCAAAAACTAGAAACGATTTTTAGGTCGTTTACCGAACAAAGATCACCGGTTGACCGAGACATTACGAGCATCGTTCAATGCGTCTGGTGACGACATAACACATCCATTTTTCGCTGAGCTATAGCTCAATTTGGAGCGAAATAACGAGAAGGGTCGTACTAGCTCGCCCTCTCCAAATGAAATAGCGAGGAAAATAGGTTTAGCGAGCACCGTATGTATGACTAAGACTACCGAACCCTTATCAACATCCCACATGCATACATACCTACGACCAAGATTGTATCGGTGCCGGCGACGATGGGTGGGGCTCTCTGTGTATTATTGCCGCCCGTCTCTGTGTCTGCCACCACCAGCTGCCACTGCCGGCTGGCCAGCAGCTGCAGCAGCTGCCGGCAGCTGGCGGCCGGCGCCGAGTACACGGGGAACACCTCCAGCGCTCCGGCGCTCGCCTTGCTGACCGTCGGCGACAGCGGGCAGCTGTGGGCAGCAGCGATCAACTACGGAGTCACCGGAGTATGGAGTCACCGGTGCTGTGGACCAGTCGACCAAAGCCAACGGCAATGAAACGATGCTCAAAAAATGTTTACAGTACACAAGCTGCGTTATCATAATTCAAGACCATGGCACTAGGAAAAAACACGTCATGAATCGTTGAATACCTACCACATTCTGAATCGTACACCACCTCACCTGTTCTTATCCGGGATGATGATGGCGTCGACACCGAGGAAGTAGCTGGAGCGGATGATGGAGCCGAAGTTCATCGGATCCTGGACCCTGTCGAGCATCAGCCACAGCCTGCGCCGGCGGCCGGGACGCTCGGCCTCGACTGTGTCGTCAGCAGAACTGGCGCCCGGCTGGCTAGCAGGATCAGACACCACGCTGTCGGGTGACGTCGTCTCCTGTAGCTTCTCGGACTCGGATTTTGTCGATACGGGCGGCTGTTGCTCCTTGTCTTTGACAGCAGGCGTCTGAACGTCCTCACCGCCACGGTCAGGCCCTCCGGTATCGGTCTCCAGCGACCAGAAGTTGGTCGCCGTCTGGTTCCGTTCCCCCGCGGCCGCCGTGGGCGGCGGGGGTGTTCCGAGCGGCGGGTAGCCGGTCCGTACCAGCAGCTCATCCACAGGCCGCGGCAGGAGCGGGGTAACGCGCGCACACACGCCCTGGTGCACGCCCGTGCCGCCGGCCATCTGGTCCAGCATGGCGGGCGGTAGGGGCACGGTGCTGACGCCACGTGCCGCGCACTCGGCCACCAGCCGCGACAGCCGGGTGTCGCCGGGACCGGATACGGCGCGGTGGTACACCTGGTTCACCTGACGGAGGCCCGCCGACAGCGCCAGGGACACCGGGTGCAGGCCGTACAGCATCTGACGGTCGCCGGGCCGCGCCGGCGCCGGCTCCGACTCAATGAAACCGAGCTTCTCCTTCTTGCGAAGGCGTTTACCGACGGGCTTGTCAGGCGACCGGTCAGGGCCGTTCCGTGATGGATGATGCGGTTGATATTGCCTCTGCGGTCGTGGATTCTCATCTTGGTTCCACCGTGACTGAGGACGATACGGCCTCTCGTCGGATCCGGGACCATGGCGTGGGGACTTGTATGGCTTTGTCACTCTGTGCCACTGGTTCTCATCTGAATCCAAGTTAGGACTGTCTCTCGTTATCCAACTGTTGTTCCTGGAATCTTGGTCATCCCATCTGCTCTTCTGTTTTGATGGCTTTGAGTGCTCCCACTGGTTTTTGCCTCTTCTGTCAAAGTCTCCTTGCTCCCTCCAATCATTTCTAGGCTTCCATTTATCTGTTTTGTACCTTTTCTGAGGCTTTTTGGCATCTAACTTCAGTGAGCCCTCTGTGAAGTCTGACTGAGTGGCTTGTTCATGCTCAGTAAAACTATTATTTTGAACAGCTTTGTTATTCTTGGGCAGCTGGGAAGGCTTGGAATCATCCTGTTCTGCTTTTTGTCTCAATGTAAGCACAGATGAGAATGTTGAACAGCTGTGATTACACAGGCTGGGCAAGCGGAGTAAGTGTAGCACCCTCCTGCTCAACATCACTTTTATCAGATATAAATACCTGGAAACAGAAAGGTAAGCACAATCAGTGTTGATGTGATATGAGCTTAAGGTAAAGTAAGTTTTTCAATTTAATGGGAAATATCAAATAGCAATTTCTAAGCATTTAAAAAAGGCTGGTCCCATAGTTCAGTTTGTCAAGCAGTGGACTCCTAGTATTGAGAGCTCTAGTTTTAGATGCTCCAGTGCCAGATATATTATGAGACTCTTGTCCTGATGGGGATGGTCTGTGGTTGGTTGAAGCAGCCACAGTCAGTTGAAGTAAGTTGAGTTGAGTGAGACAGTCTGTGTCTTGATTTGATGGGCAGTGGGCACCTTTACCTTTGGTAGGTATCTAAACTAAATTCTCCGGTTAGCCGGAACCACACGTTCCGACATCCGACAGTCTAGGGTTCGGGGCTTACACAGCAAGCTCAGCTTTGCATGGGCTCCAGCTCAGTCAATCTGTCCATCCATACTCAAGCTAAATTTATAAAAGGATATTGCTTTAACTATACTGATACCGATTACGAGTGTCCAGTGACCGGCATAGTTGACGACGTTGACGTCGATCTGGATCGTCAGTGAGCGGGTAGCTTGTGATTTGAACGGCCGAAGCTACACTAGCACCAGCATGAAGCTAACAACAATTCTGCCCCTATATCAATAATATATATAATTCCCTTGATGAAGCTACTGTGATATAATCAATCAAGATGCAGAGGAGTCTCACACCCATCTGACTCACAATTTCAAAACACGTGTTTGCCAAGTGTGTGCAGAAAGGTGGTACCCTAAGTAAGTGCCAAGCTAACCGCTACAAATAGATTCAATGACGTCATAATATCTGTTTCTTTTCATTTGTCAAAAGTGCCTCTCCTCGAGAGGTGCGCTTTCAAGGGTGAGACTAAATGCTTACTTCGAAATCTAAGCTGCGTTGCGGCATTGGCGGTTATGTGCGGCGTGTATGCCGCATGATTAGTAAGCGGCGACTACTAAATTAAAAGCTCAATAGCTTTGACCTGTTTTCAATGGATAACACTGCATACCAAAAATGTCCATCGCTCTCGTCATAGAATATTTATTTATATGCCCATATATGCATAGACGTACATAAATGTACGTCAATTTGAGTTGACCAATGTGTGCCATCTTTATAGAAATAGAGCTAATGAGCCATCAAACGCGGTCGTTCTAAATCATTTACATTGTTAGCCGTCAGGTGAATACCAAAAAAACACGGTTCCAATGCATTCAGTGTTGAGTTTCAGACATTCGGTTTGTTGATGCCGCAACGGGAAGTTTTTCACCCGTTCAGACGCTCGACCCAGGGTGAGCCAAGTGTTCTTAATTATAGTTAAGTGCTTTTCCCGGATTAGCTTTCGTTGCCAGCAATCTGCTCAAGCATGACCCTAACTTCATGAGTGGTGTCATTATAATGCTAATTTTGCTTACCAAGCAAATCCAAAAATAGTACGTTTTACAAAAACGCACGTACAATAATGTACGTCTATGCATATCCGTTACATTTTGTTTCCCAAACATCAAACACGTTTATGCTTTGGTTTGATGGGAAATGTGAGCCTCAACGATGTTCTGGATCAGGGCTGCGGGAGTCGATGGATTTTCAGTGACTCCGACTCCGACTCCGACTCCGACTCCCGGTAGAACTATCGACTCCGACCGACTCCAACTCCGACTCCCGACTCAGCAGCCCTGCCAGGTCAGCGGAGTCGATGGGTTTGTCGGTGATTCTGACTCCGACTCCGGCTCCGGTTTCCAAAATCGACTCCGACTCCGACTCCGACTCCGGTCAGAATTGTCGACTCCGACCGACTTCGACTCCGACTCCGACTCCGCAGCCCTGTTCTGGATGGCATCGAGGAGCGAAGTCGAGTCGCCGATGTCACGGTCGTCGTCCTAGAGCCGCCGGAAGTTCGCGTCGACACAAACGAAGACTCTAGCGACGAAGAGAATGCTGACCCAGCCCGCCTGACGTAACTGGTCTGAGCCGTAACTGACGTAACTGAGCCGTAAAGACGTAACTGAGCCCGTAACTGGTCGCACCCACCGGCTCAACCGGTTCGGGATGATTATGGATGTATGTCACTTCCAAAGCAGCACCAAGCTTGACCCTGATGATCGGTTTTGCAGCAGAGATCCAGAAGCGCCAGTTCCATGGCACGGGTACCATGTGAGGGAATCGCCTTCTGAAGGCGAACAAGTTCACCGACATCAACGCCTTCAAGAAGAAGTCCAATCAGACCATCGAAGCATTTACGACTGCCAACAACGGCTGCAGTGCGGGCCGCTGTTACAGGGCCTCGGCTAACATGTTAACTACTGGGGCAAATGCCCCAGTAGAGTCGAGGAATGCCCCAGTAGTGGTCAGGCTTTGCCCAACCTCCACAAAATGAGAATATATCAATATTAACGTACATTCTTTCATTCGGGAGCGGTTGAAGACGTTTGTGGCAAGAAATCAGGGGCGGCGGAAGAGGGAGTGCACGGTGTGCAGCTGCACCCTCAATTTCCATCCAAAAACATAGGCGTACAGCCCACCGCTAAAGTAATGTAGGGTTTTACCAATCTCAACGATTGGCTTTGACTGGAGATTGTTTAATGCGGAGTGATCGAAAAGAAGATGTCAATAGCTAAAATTGCAGCTGCAAGAGTGACGATACATATAAGCTACATTCAAAGTTTCATTGTACGAGGGTCGTTCCAAAAGTAATGCCTCCTATTTTTTAACTCCGCCCCAAATGATCGGAGGGCGATGAAATTTGCACCGTATCATGACTTAACCTTAACTCGCATGTCTTTAAATTTTCATTTCTCTATCACAGCTATTTACCGCGTGACGTCTTGGTAAACGAAGTTCGTCATGGAATATCGTCAGAAGCAGAGGTGCGTCATTGAATTCCTTCACAGGGAAGGGAATGCACCCATCGACATTCACCGACGTTTGCAGAAGGTCTATAGAGCAGACGCGGTGGATGCGAGCACAATTAGCAGATGGGTCCGTCGCTTTGAGAGCGGTGAAAGTGATGTCAAAGACAAAGCACGCTCCGGACGTCCGCGCACCGGGCGCCAGCAGGCAAAGTGATGTGCACCGTCTTCTGGGACAGGCAATGTGTCATCCTCTTGGATTTCCTGGAACCAGGAGCGACTGTAAACTCTGACCGTTACGTTGAAACGTTGACAAAACTGAAGGCCCGGATAGCCCGCGTAAGGCCAGAAAAGAAGAGAAACATTCTGTTTGCAACATGACAACGCTAGGCCACACACGAGTCTGAAGACCACATAATGTGTGGCAAAGTTCGGCTGGACATGCTGCCACACCCTCCTTATAGTCCTGACCTGGCACCGTCCGACTTCCACTTGTTCGCGCCTCTGAAGGACGGCTTACGTGGGCAGCGCTTCCCAGACAACGACGCTGTCATTGCCGCCGTGAAGAAAAGGACCACCTCGGCGGGCGCCGACTTTTACGAGCCAGCCATCAAGGCTCTCGTTCATTGCTGGCAAAAGTGCATTGAGAGTAGTGGTGACTACATAGAAAAATAAACGTAAAACAAAAAAAGTATGCTCGTTTTAATGACGCCACCCCCATCTTCCAATCTCATCAACTTTTTAGTTAAAAAATAGGAGGCATTACTTTTGGAACGTCCCTAGTAGTCTGACTAATCGTTCCTAAGCTTCAGAAGCAGGACATACCCATGACTGAAACCGCACATTACTTCTGCTGTGGACTGTACATTGGCAAGCATATCTTTTTACACCCCATAATCCATCTTCGTTCGAAAGAGCGTAAAAAATAATGACGAAATTACTTCAGCCACTTTTTTGGTCAGGTCAAAGGTCAGATCATGGTGAAGGCCAAATTTCGCCGATTTTCAGGTCGAATATCGACAGTTTACAAGATGCCGACGCATAACTCGGGAACCAATTAGAGCTACAGCACCGCGGAAAAGCGCATTTGATAGCCATATTAGCATGCTTTCTGGTTATTTCTCTTAGATTTGACCTAACGTCAACGGTTTTGCCTGCAAGGGGCAAAAACTACTAAAAAGACGATTTTGGGGGAACAGTTTTTCTGCAATAACTTTTGACTCATGCCTTGCACGAGCCAAGGCCCAATGCAAGCGCTTTCTTTTATCCGACATCGTGTTCCTCTCGTCAAGACGCATCAAATTAACTACAATTTGACCTTGAAGGTCAACTTGAAAATTCGACCTCAGGTTCAAGTCATGATCTGACCGGAAATTGTCATGTTGCATATCAGTCGATCTGCATCGTCGAACCAAACACAACTAAGGCATTTTCATCGCTCTAGCATGCCTCTTTCAAAAGTTATTCGCGAAAAACTGTTAGATACCATTCGTGAACTGAGATGACCTCAGGGGCATAAAAAAGGGTCACGGGTGCTATTTTCATGTTCAGTGTGTCAAAGGTCCTACAGTGATTTATAGTGTTTAGAATAACTTTCGTCCAAAAGAGATGGTTTTGAATTTCTCCCATTGACTTATAATAGATCGGTCGCAAAAGTGAGCTGACCTTAGGTCACCGATATGAAAATTCCGAGATATAAATTTTGTACATGCTGTTGCCCTTATCAATCGCTGAAAGTTTCAAAGCGATCGGTCACTCAGTGTAGCTACGGTATACATGGAAACATTTCATGAGGTGAGGTCACTTGAAGTGACCTGGTGACCTGATCTTGAATGACCTTGGTCTGAAATTTTTACAACACGTGTAAAATTGATGGATGATGGAGCGCCGCCGTTTTTTTAGATATCCGCGAAAAACCGCAGGAAAAACCGCAGGTGTTCAACCCCCCCCCCCCCCCCCCAGCAGGGCGCCAACACACTTTGACGATTTGCCCCAGTAGTCAAAATTCCTTAGCCGAGGCCCTGCGCTGTTATCCGCTGGATGGACGTGGTCGAGGATCACGAGTTCCAAGAGGCCATCATGCCGTCACTGGGGAAGGAAGAGCCGGCCGACGCCCCTGGACAGACGCACCTCTCCGAGTTCTAAGTCGAGGGCGACCAGTCGCTCTGCTCCGCTGACCATGCCGGCGACTTTACGTCCGGCTGATGACCGTCTTTAGTCATTACAGCGGGGCCACGCGCTCGGGACAGTGTCTGACGTGTACAGTGTGGGACGGGACAGGTGGTGCCATTACGACGACCGACGCGTCAGCTGCGTGGACGAGGCAGACGTCCTGGGCGGAGGCCCCCAGCGGAACGGCTACATCTTCTGTCTCCTCAAGAAGCTCTGCAGTCAGGTAGTCAGCATGGAGCGCGCCGGGCGCTGGACTGTGACTGCCACAGGGGAGCACAGGGTCACCGCGTCGGTGGCTAGCAGCAGAACGCCTCCTGATCGCCATTGACAACGTGCTCTTTTTATAGATCTACTATGTTGACTATTATGTACATGAGACAAGTTTTCAATAGACGGTAAAAGTTGACATAATTGAGTTTTGTTTTGCAAATTTTCTTATTTTCATCATACATGATCTACATCTATTTCCTAATTCAACGTATGAATTGTAACTACCATTTCCAAGGGTCTCTAATGCAACACAACATATCATACATCATATTTGACCATACTCGTACAACACAAGTTATTCCCCTCGCCCAGGTTAACGATGACATGACGTCACCCTACCCCCTCCACAACCCCATCCCCACCCCAACCCATCCCTCATACATCGCTTCTGAAGTACGAAAGACGTTAGCATTGTATTAGGGATATCGGA